AAATAAATTTTCAAAAAAATTAGGCATTACAACTCGTTTGCAATTAACAACATTAAACTTACTATTAACTCGAAGAAATAATTGTCCAATTAAGTGATTTGAATCTTTTTTTTCATTAAATAACTGTGCCTATAAATTTTATTAATATACAAATATTTTTTTTCATTAGATTTAAAGAAATATTAGTAATTCTTTATTCTACTAAAAGAAACAAACTTTGTGAACATAATAATCAGAGGTGTCAAACTCAACTTTGAGATTATCAATACCTTTTCTTTCTAAAACTTCTTTAATAGAACTCCCTGAATTTGGACCATGTTTAACTTTGTATCTTAGCATTTTATCTGCTAGTTCATCTTGGTCGTACTGATTTAAAAATTTTTCTGACCCACGAGGTATACAATCAAGGTCTAGTATATCTTCATCATCAAATATTTCAATATTATTTTCAATGCACTCACTTTGAATCATTTCTCCAAATAACCATCTCAATAAATCATTTAGTTGTTGAATAATGTATTCACGTATTATCTTGAATAATTTATAAAAATAATTTATTTTCGTTTCATTTCCCTTATTGTTCATTAGAATTAAAGTGTCAAAATGTCTTATCTTTTTTTTTTAAGTTTTTTCATTTTTCTTTTATAAATCTATTTATAGAATTATATTAATAAGTTATATATAACAAATAAAATTTAAAAAAACAAAAAATTATTGAACTCAGAAAAACCTAATGGAGGAAATCACTAAAGAAAGTATTATTCAAAAATTACTTGAAGAAAAATCTTTACTAGTTGACCAACTAAAACAAACCCACCAAGAGTTAAACCAATCACAAACACAACATTTTATGGACCGTGAAAAATTTAATGTATTATATAATTCTCAACAAGTTTGTTTTATAAAAAAGAAGTTATTTAATCTTCAAACAAACCACATTTAAAATTAACTTCATAGTCAGTTATTCAACAGTTAAAACAAAACGAAATAAATAATCTCCAAAAAATTGAGACTTTATCACAAGAAATAGCAAAACTTCAAATCCAAAATGCAATTAAAGAGACTGAGCCTCCTAAACAAATGCACCTTCAAAGTAGTGTTGCTGTTGATGGAATTTTGAAGTTAGTTCCAGAAAATAAAAGAATGGAAGCATCAATTTTGCTAGATGAATTCAATAAATTCAATGAAAACGAACATATTCTCTTTGTTCAGTACTTAAAACAAGAATTAGAAGAAGAAGGAATTAATGTATTCTCTAAAGAAGAGAAAAATACTCAACTGAAAGAAGGTTTTAAGAAAATACAAGAAGAAGCTATCAATGAACTAAAAAGATGTGAAGAAGTAATTACTAAAAAAAATGAAACCATCGAACTATTGAAAAGAGAAAATGAAGAACTTGAAAATGCACTTGTGAAACAAAAAGGTAGTGATAATGATAATTTTAAAATCAATTTACCATTTAAACAAGAAATAATACGAGAAAATGAAGAGTTGACAGAAAGGTTGACAAATATCCAAATTGAATTTGATAATTTTAAAAAGAAAAAGGATGAAGAACTTAAAAAATCAACAGAGTCATTAGATTGGGATGAAATGAAAAAGAAAGTTGAAAAGATGTATGAACTTCAACAAGAAAATAGTCAACTCAAATTAAAACTCAACAACGATACTCTTTTCAATAATAGTAGAACTGAAATCAAATTGTCTGAAATGAAAAGACAACTTAATGTAAGTGAAGAATTAAATGAAAAAAGAAAAGAAGAAATTACTAGGCTTCAAAAAGAAAATGAAGACTTGGAAAATAAACAACAACAACTTATTAAAGATTCAAATTTTTATCAGTCTGTTGTTGTCTCTGCTAAACAAGAAACTGAACATTGGAAATCTATGTGGCAAGAACTTCAAGGAGAATTTAAAATATCAACAATTGCGAAAATAGACTTGGAAAATCAAATAGAATCATTAAAAAGTACAAATAATGTATTAGAACAAAAGATTAAAGCTTTTGAAGGAAAATTTGATCCAATCTCTACAAATCAAGATCTTATAAAAGAAAAAGAAGACACTATTGAAATGTTAACAATTGAAAAACAATGTCTTCAAAAGAGAGTTGAGTGCTTAGAAAAGGAACAAACTGAAAATATTGCAAAACAAAACCAACTTGTTCAGACTATTTGGAAAAATAAAGAAAAAGTTGATCGTGTAGACGAAACAACTTCTAGTTTACAAAAAAAAATTGGAGAATTATTATTTGATTTGAAAAGAGAAGAAGAACAACGAAAAATATTAGAAGAAAATGAAAAAGAGTGTAAAACTGAAATTGAAGAATTAAAAAAAGAAAATACAACAAAACAAATTGAATTACAAGAAATAATCCATTCAAAAGAACAAGAAGTACAATCAATTAAAAATGAATATGAAAGTATTAAACTAGAAAAAGAAAAGAAAGAAATTCAAATTCAAGAGATCCAAAAAAATGTTGAAGAATTAACAGAAGTAAAGAAAGAAAAAGAAGAGAATGATATTTTATTGAAGAGTATTCAAAATAAACTCAAAGAATTAAAAATAGAAATTAATAGTAATGAAGAAATAAATATTGGTCTTCAAGCATTAATTGAAGTACAAAAAGGATTTGAAGAAAAACAAAATGATCTTAAACAAAAAGAAACACTCTTTAAACAACAAATAGAAGAACAAAATATGAATTTAACAAAACTTGAAGGAATTATTGGAACTGTTATTCATCAACAAGGAATTGATGAAACAAGTAAAAACATTATATTATATTTACAACAAGAAAATAATAGATTGCACCAACTTATTTCACTAAACGATTCTCAAAATAAATTCATTAAATCAAATGAACAAGAAGATAAATTAAAGATTGAAATTGAATATCTTAAGGAAAAGGTTCAAATTGAACAAACAGAAAAAGATGAATGGAAGAAAAGAATGCAAGAATTATATAATAAAAAAGATGTCGTTCCAAAAAGTCAATTAGAAATAAAAGAAAAAGAACTTGAAAAACAAAACCAGGTTATTGAAGAAATGGAAATGGCAAATAAAGAAAATAAACAAAAAATCACTAATCTTAAGACAGACATTAATAATCAACTCAAAAAGTATCAGTCTGAAATCCAAGAACAACAACAGAAACAAAAACAAATGGAAGAAGAATTTAATAATAAAACACAAAAATGGAAAATCGAAAAAGAAAAGTTACAAGAAGAATTAAATGAAATTCGATCACAACTTCAAAAAAGAAAAGATCCTTTCAAAGAAAATCCAGACTCAATTGATGCATTCAAAAATAGACTCACAAATAGAAATCCTCAAAATCCAATTGAACGAATAGTTCAAGAACAAAAACAACCTGTGATTTCTACTACCCAATTCAATAATATTTTCAATGAAACAATTCAAAAGAAAGAAGAAACAATATCTACTACTGATAACTTGTCTAAAGTTGAACTTCTAACAAATCTTAAACCAAAAATAAATGAACAACAAACTCAAAAAGTTGATGAAAGTAAGAGTATTAATGATGAAATAGTTAATACAAGTGATGAAAATGAAAACGAAAATAGTATGGAACAAATTGATAGTAATGAAAGTGGTAGTGAAGAACAAAGCCAAATGGAAAATGATGATACAAAACCTACAACTCAATTAAATTTAAATATATTTGATATACCTAAACAAGAAGATAAAGACAATCCTTTCCTCAAACTCCAACAAATTTCTAATTCTCAACCAACAAAAGAAACAAAATCAAGCACAACTTTTACGTCCTTGTTTAATACTCCAAAAACTGATTTCAGTGCATTTTTATCTTCTGATACAAAATCTCAAGATAATAATATTTTTTCAAACTTTGTACTTAATAACCCTCCTCAAATCCAAACAAATAATACACAAGAACCTTCTATTGTTAAAGACTCCATTGTTTCTAATGCTCAACAAAAAATAGACCAAATTGGTTTAAAGAGTGATGAGTTTTTCCCATTTGGGGATACTGCACTGATAAAAAATAATTTAAAACCATCACCTTCTCCACAAATTGATTTCCAAGTTGGTTCTTGTTTACGTGTGAAACAATTCTCACTCCCAAGTCCTGTATTAAATAAAGAAATGGCTCAACAAATACAAACTCAAAACAAAGAACAAGAACAACAAAAACGGTTAGAAACTCTCAAGGCTAACTCAGCCAGTAATAAAAGAAATGGTCTCAACTTACCATCATCGTTTCACTAATGAATGATTTATTTAAATGATACAAAATATCTTATTGTTGTATTTTTTTTGGATAGAAATATATTATGTATAGAAACATTCAAAATAATAGTTTATGATAACGATATGAATTAAAAATCTCAAAAAATAAAAAATAATATTTTTAAAAAAAAAAGAAAGAAAAAGAAGAAAAAAAAAGTAATAAGAACTTTAAATTAATAAGTAAATTGATATGTCTATTGATTTAGCTTCATTTTTTTATGTCTCTATCCCAACTAATAAAATTATTAAAGAAGGGTTTATGGTAAAAAGGGGGCATATAGTCCGAAATTGGCTTCAAAGATGGTTTGTGTTAACAAATGATATATTATACTATTTTGATGAACAAAAACTTCATTTAAAGGGATATATTCCTTTGGCATTTGGGACAATTACACGAAGTCCTGAAATGAAGAAACAACCATGTTTTCAATTAGTATCACCCTTACAAAATAAAACGTATTTCATTCAAGTTTGTTGTCTATCGAATAAAGTAAAAAAAGATAAAAAGTAATTACAAATAGTGTGGGACTGAGGATGAGTGTGGGTTATGGATGGCAGCTATTTCTATTGTATTAAACAAATATATTGGAGAGCCAGAAACAATGGACCATGTTACACATGTTACTTATAATGAAGGAGGATTTTGTGGAATACCACCAGAATGGGAAAATATGTTTATTGCATTAGGAATTACAAAAGAAGAAATTAAGTCAAATGAAAAAGAAGCAATGCAAGTCATTCAGTTTACTAAAAAGCTTGAAGATCAACCTCTTGGACCACCACCAATGCCAGAAAATGAAATAACAATTACTTTAAAAGATATTGTACAACCAGGAAATCCAACAGAATTATTTGATAATTGGCAACAAATAGGAGAAGGAGTTAGTGGAGTAGTATTTCAGTGTGTAGATAAAAAGACCAAAGAAGAACGTGCAGTGAAGAAAATTAAAATAGAAGATGATTCAATTAATCTACAAGAAATAAAAATAATGCAAACACTAAAACATCCAAATATTGTTGGATTTTTTGGATGTTTTGAATTAGATAATTATTTATATATTTCTATGGAATTTATGGATCGTAATAATTTAACTGCAATATTAGAATTCTTTCCATCTATTGCTATGAATGAACCACAAATTGCTTATGTTGCACGAGAAACAAATGAAGCATTAAGATATGTTCATAGTTTTCATAGAATTCATCGTGATATAAAATCAGATAATATTCTAATTAATCATAATGGAGAAGTTAAATTAGCAGATTTTGGTGTTTCAGTTCAATTAACTAAAAATAAATCAAAAAGAAATACTATTGTTGGAACTCCTTATTGGATGGCTCCTGAAGTTATTAAAGGAAAAGACTATGATTGTTTGATTGATGTTTGGTCTTTAGGAATTATGTGTAGAGAAATGATGGAAGGGTATCCTCCTTATATGGATGATCCTCCTTTAAGAGCTTTATTTCAAATTAGTACTAAAGGTGTTCCTCCTATTACAACTGGTAGTTGGTCAAAAGAGTTATTAGACTATGTCAATGGATGTTTATCAGTTAATCCTGACCAACGCCCTTCAACAGAATCATCAATTAAAAATCCATTCTTCCAAAAAGCATGCACAAAAATAGAATTTGCAGATTTTGTCTCACGAGTTGAACAAATTGCTCTTGAACAACAAAACTAATTAATGAATTTTTCATTTTCATAATTTAAATTTGGTCAATTTTATTTAAAATTTAACTAAAATAAAACGATGAAATTAAAAAGGTTATTTATTCTGGTGGGTATTCTTTAACAAGCATATCAGCAAATTCCTTATAATCAACATAACCTTCTCTACTTACTGTAGCAGATCTCATAATTGCTTCAACTTCTGAATTTGAAAGTGGTCTTCCTAAAACTGAAAGAATTTGTCTTAATTCAGCTTCATGAATTTGACCATTTTCTTCTTTATCTAAAGCAGTGAATACACCAAACATATCGTCATACAAATCTTTAGGTAATTTCATTTCACATTTCTTATATAATTGTCTAATTTTTTCAACTCCAACAAGGTCTTCTTTTACTTCTCTCATAATAGCTTCTTCTTGTTGTTGAGTTGGTGCTTTTCCAAGGGCTCTCAATAATTCGATGACTTGGTCTCGAGAAATCTTCTTATCATGATCAATATCCAAGATTGCGAAATAATCATCAATTAATTCACTTGTTGTCATTTGTTTTTAACTTTCTTTTCAAGTTCACCTTTTTAAGATGAATTTGTGTCTGTTTTTAGCCTTTTTTAAATCTTTCTTCGAACAAACTATTCTTTTGTTTTGGTATTGGTTATTGTTATATTATTAATGAACTTGGTTATAATAAATCAATTCTGCCTAACTAATCTTAAAATGACAGTTTCTTTTTTAGATTACGTTTTTTCACTTAAAACAATAAAATAAGAGTTGTTGAATTTATTGTTATTTAATGCATAAAAAAGAAGAGCCTGTTGCTGCATTACTTTGAGGGCAATGGTTTACTAAAAATCTTGTTTAATCTGACAGGATTTTTAAAAATATAAAAAAAAATAAGTACAATGAATAAATAACTAATCCAAAAGGAAAAAAACCCTGAAAATAGAATTATGTTGAAATAATACATTAAAAGAAAAAATCTAAAAAATGAAGAAAGGAAACTGTAAAAGAAGATTACATAAGAAAAGTAAAACAAAATGGATGAACCATTACTAAATGAAGAAGAAAAACTAACACGAGACGATAATGAGATTGAAGTAAGTGAGTCGATTGATCATTTTATTTCAGATAATGATATTGAAATTTTTCGAAAAGAAGAAGCAGAAAGAAAAGTTACTCTTTTAAAGCTCTTTAAATTTGTTGGATGGGTTTTATTAGAAAAATGGTATTGTATATTATTTGTTTTATGCTTTATTGCATTTTCATTAGTTGTTTATTTTACTGATTGGAAAATGGCTGAAATTGGAGATGTTACTTATAAAACAATTATTTGTTTGATACTTATTGGAATAATGATTACGTTAATTCTATCTAATTTATATCATCCAGGAGTTATTATGATGGCAGTAGTTGGTCTTTTAATTGCTTGTAGAGTGATAACTTCTGCACAAGGTTTTCAAGGATTTAGTAATCAGTCAGTAATAACAATTATTGTTTCATATATTCTTTCAACAGCAATAATTAAAAATAGAAGTTTAGAATTTTTAACTAGAAATATATTTCCAGAAACATATGAAAAACATGTTTGGCCATCATTATTATTTATGGTTCTCATTACTTTTTTGTTATCTGTTGTAATAGATAATATACCAGTCGTTTTATTATCAATGTCTATAGTTCATACTTGGACAAAAACATCTGGAATTCCTCCTAGTAAAGTTTTGTTACCAATTTCTTTTGCTGCTATTCTTGGTGGAATGAATTCAATACTTGGAAATTCATCATTTCATCGAGCAAGAACGTTATTAATTACGAAAGTATTAGAACTTAACAAAAAAGGTATTCATTTAAATATTACAATGCCATATTTTGAAATCGCTATTATTTCATCAATCATTTCTATTCCAGCACTTATTTACATTATTTTAGCTAATGGGATTCTTAGTCGTCATAAAGAAGAATCGTTTCATAAAACAAACAAATCATATATATTCACTTTCCGTATAGAAGAAAAGTCTCGATTTATTGGACTTCAATTGGGAGAAACTGTATTAAATAAACCTCCTAATGGTAAATTGTGTTATATTAAACGTGGAGAAAATTATATTGATATTAAAGATGACACAATTATAAAAAAGAATGATATACTCTGTTATATTGCTCCGTCATCAATATTAAAAGATGTGTTAACATATAACGGAGTTGTCCCTTCTGATCCAACTATTCATGAATTAGTTGGAGCTACTGTTTATGAAATTGCCTTAAATCCTCAAGACACATTAATTGGACAAGATATTAAATTGATTAATGAACGTGGTGTTGGATTATTAGGAGTCTCAATAGATGAGAATAAATGGAAAGAACAATTGAACCAAATCAATATCCTTTCTTCTGAAAGAACATACATTGTTATTTCGCCACAAAACCAAGAATTAAAAGGAAATGATTTTCACTTGGTTACCCAAATAGATGTTGATTTGCCACAACCAACAAATATTATTAAAACCATTATTCCAATATTTTGTCTTCTTATTCCATGTATTTTAGAATCAACAAAAGTTTGCTCATTATTTGTTTCTGGATTTGCTTCAGTTTTGGTTCTTATTATCACTCAATGTATGACTGTCTCAGAAATTTATCAATCTATTAATGTTCAAGTGGTTTGTGTTATTGCAGCATCATATGGAATTACTTCAGCAATTCAAACAACACACATTGGTACATTGTTGACATTGTCTTGTTCTCAGTGGTTTATCTCACTAGGAAAATATGGAATTTTAATGGGAATTTTTTTACCTACCATTTTACTTGCACAACCATTTGCTAATACAGTTATTGTTGATATAATGTTTCCGATGGTGTGGCATCTTTATTATGGCGATTCTGATAGTGCAGAACATGGCTCATTAATTGGAATTAAATCAGCAATGTACACAATGATGATAGCATCCTCATCTTCATTTTTATTAACAATTGGATACCCCACTCATATGATTATTAATCAAAAAGCACATTACACATTAAAAGAAGTATTTCTTTTTGGACTTCCAATATTTCTATGGGTATTTATCTGTGGTGCTTTACTTCCTTATTTGTTTTTTGAAGTGTTATAAATTAACACATCCACCTTACATTTAATTGAATTTGATAAATAATGTTATAACTAAATTAATCCTAATAACTCTTTCTCTGAGTTGGTGAAATTCATTTGGTCAACAACACCAAATGATGCCGCTTTTGATTCCATTTCTTGTTTTTTCTTTCTTTCTTCTTCTAACCTTTTTTCTTCTTCCTCTTTTATTTTTTGAGCTTGTTCTCTTTCTTCTTCTTTTCTTTTTCTTCGTTCTTCTTTCTTCTGTTGACGTTCTAATGCTTTCTTTTCCCTTTCTTCATTCAAAAGTTGTTTTTGTTTTTGTTTTTGTTTCTCTTCCTCTTCTTCTTCTTTCTTTTTTTGACTTTTTTCCTCTTCAGTAGCTTGTTTTTTTTCATTTTCTTCTGCTTCTTGTTTTATTCTTTTGTTATACTCTTCTTCGTCCTTTTCTTTTTGGATTATTTTCAACTCCTCTTTCTTTTCTCCTTCTTTCCTTTTCTTCTCTTCATCTTGTTTTCTTTGTTTTTCTATTTCAACTTCTAATTTCTTTTTACACTCCTCTTCTTCTTTCATTTGTTGTGTTCTTTTTTCTTCTTGTCTCTTCTTTTCCTCTTCAATGATTTGGTGTTCTTTTTCTTCTTGTTCTTGTTGGGCTTGTTTAATTCTTTCTTCCTCTTGTTTTCTAATCATTTCCTTTTTGTCATCTTCTTCCTTTTCACGTTGTGTAATCATTTCATTTAGCTGAATAATGTCCTTAATAGATTTTTCTTTCTGTAGTTGTTGTGGTTTTTGTTGTTGCTTCTTTTTTTCCTTTTCCTCTTTTCTTTTTTGTTCATATTCTTTAGCTTTTTGAGCAATCTTTTTTAGTTCAAGTAATTCTTCGTCCTCTTCTTCTTGAGCAATTTTATCTTCTTGTCTTTGATTTGTTTCTGTTTCATCTTTAGTTTTAATAGCACTTTTACTTAGTGGAGTAGTGTCTTGTAAACCATTTTCTTTATTTGATGGTTGAACTAATTCTTCTTTCTCTTGAGAATCTTTTACACTCTCTTCCTTTAATTCTAAAACTTCTTTATTATTTAACTCTTGTTGATTTACTTGATTAAACACTTCCTTGGTATCATCGGTATTTGGAAGAGTTGATTCTTTTTTATTATCTAACACCTTTTCTTGGGTTTGCCTTTCTACTTCATTATTCGTTCCTAATAATTTCTTGTCTATTGGTTCTTCTTTTTGGCCTTTAACTAGACTTTCCTCATGTTCATTTTTAGGTTCACCGTTAACTGCTTCTTGTGTGTTATGAATTTTAATATCTTCTTGGTATGTTGTTATTGTCTCTTCTTTTTCGTTTTGTTTTGCTTCTGTATTTTGAAAATCTTTGTTATTAGCTTCATCAATACTCTTTTTTAATTCTTCTCCTACAACTTCAACTAGCTTTTCAGATAAACTTTTAGGATTAGTGTTTGAAGTTAGTTCATTTTTACATTCTTCAGTTTCACATTCAATTACGCTGCTTGAACTAATTTCTCCTTTTTTTATATCTTCTAATTTTTTAGTATCTACTTCTTTAGTTAATTCTTCAACCATCATCTCTTCATCCTCAGGAATATCAAACACCTCTTCTTCTCTTTTACTTCCAACTAAATCAACATCATAATTAGGAGCAATACCCATAGTGATATTATTTTCTGAAATTCCACTTTCTAAATAAATGTCTTTTTTCCCTGTAATAAATTCTCCACTTGTTTTAAATGTTACATTAGTCATATGTTCTTTTACTTTAATTTTATTTATATATTTCTCTTGTTCTTTTGTTGCTTCAGTATTACAATAATATGGGTCAAATCTCATTAACACACGTTCTGGTTGTACAGGAAGTACATCTCCTTCCCATTGAATTCTTAAAAGTACTTCACCTGTTTGAGGGATATTAAAATCTCCAAAATTTTTTAATTGGAACCATTCTTCAATTCCATTTTCAACAACTCTCCATAATGGTAAATCAACTGCTCCTACAAACTTTTTAGAACTAAAGAAACCAATTACAACGTTTTCTCTCATTTCTTCTAATTGAACTATGAAAGTACTCTTATCTCCATCCCAAATAGGATCAATTGATTTAGTTGATATACCACTTTCAATTTGATTATTATCTTTATCAGTAACAACACATCTAAATTTTGTTTGTTTTCCTTTTAGTGTTGGAAAATTAATACCTTTGATAAGAGTTATTTGTATATTTTGTACTTTTATTTTTCGTTCTTCAAAACTTCTAGGATCCATCCATGTAGTATATTTTTTATTCCAATTAATAAAATACATTTCTCCTCTATCCATTCCAATTCCCCATCCTTTTGGTAACATTTTGCATTCAGGTAATGGATATCTAATATTTAAATAATTCTTACATGACTCATCTCCATAACACTTTCTCCAAAGATGATTTATATATACTGGAACACCATCTACCTCTACTTTTTGAATAACACTTTCACAACTTGGTGTGGGTCTCATATGTATTCCGTAAAATGTTATTTTATCTTTTGAAAAATCAATACCATGTAAGGCAGCACGTGCACAATTGTCTTCAAATGTACCTTTCCCCCATCCTACAGTAACAGGAAATTTAACTATAATAGTTGGCTTTTTCTCTAATTTAATTCTTATTTCAACATAAGACTCAACAATAAAATCATCTTCTTTTATTGTTGGAAGTAAGTTAGTTGATTCTAAAATAAATTCTTTCTGTAATAATTTAGGTATTTTATCTAACTCTTGAATACCACCATTTGAAGTGATATATGTTTCTCTATACCTATGTTCTGAATACCATAACATAATTGGATTTAATGGTTTCCCCGTATTATTACTAATTGTAACATATACTTTAATAGATTCATTAGGTTTAATTCCAGGTGTACATCTCATTCTTACTAATACTTGATCTCTACTACATACTTCTTCTGGTTTTTTTATATCAAAAACATCTTTAACACAATAAAGAATTGGTACTTCATTAGATGATGTAAATGTTGATAATGCTATTGCCTTCTCTGAACCTTCTTTTCTTTTCAATGGAATAATTTGTAATTTTGCTTGTAATCGATACCTTACTCCAACCCCTCCTTTAAGATGTAAAGAAGGATGTGGTACAATAGGAATAATAATTGAAAATGGTACTGCATGAGTACCTGGAAAATATTCATGATAAAATGGTTCACAAGAGAAATTAGATTGCTCTGCCAATGGAGGATAATCACGTGAAATGAAAAATTTGTTTACTAATTTAATTGCTTTTTTGTCTGAAGCATTACGTGACAAAATTGTTTCACCAATTAAGTTAAAATGTAGTTGATTAACAATTACTCTCTTCTTTACATTAATAAGGAGAAACCCTTGTAATCTTTCTCCAATAGCATAACCTTTATTAATAAAACGAACGTTTAAATTAACTTCTGACATTTAAAACTAACAATCATCTTTTCTAGTTTTTCTTGAAAAGTAAGATAATAAAGAGGAAAAAATCAACAAAAACAATAAACAAATTAAATTGAAGGAAATGTCTTTCTTTCTTTTTTTTATTTTGAGACGAAAGGAATGATATTTGATTTATAAAAATCTTCAAAGTTATTTATCGTTTTGTTTAATAATATGAGTAACCAATATACCTCACAAATCATTCATTACATCAGTTACTATCTTTTCAATCTCCTTAAGACGAGTATGGTCATTATTTGTTGTCCCTGCAAGATCAATTAAATTATTGTAAATTTCAATGAGCCTCTGTTTATTTCTGCTCATATCTTTATCAATTTTTTTATGACCAATAATGGAAAAAAAAGATTGTTGATTTGAGCAGATAACATCTTCTTTTTTTGATGCTGTTAAATCTTGTTTTTCAGTACTGAACTTAGCAGCCTTTCTTTTTTCTCTTTTTGCTTTTACTGGATTAAAACTAACAAGATTTTGTTGTTGAATTGAAGATATTTTGCTTGTCCTATCACAAATACTTACAGCCATATCAATTAATGGTCGAAGTGCAAAAACTGGAGGAAATTTCATTAATCTACGAAGAGTGTATGTTGGGTCATCTCGTTCTACTATGTCATTTCTTACATATAACATCATTGAAAGGAATACACCATCCACTAATTTTAAATTTTCTCCATAAGCAAAAATAGCGTCCCATATTTCAACAACATCCTCAATATGAAATTCACAAGCAAATAACATCTTTATCCATCTAATACCAAAAACGGAGGAATAATATC